CGTAAATAGCGACATACATCAGTTCCCGAAGTAAACATGGGGGTGTCGAGATAGGAGGCTCTGCCAATGCGTCTTGCTGCCTGGGGCTGCGTATTTCATCTACACTTGCGGCGAAAGTAAACTAGGGCTGCCTAACGAGATTTCCACTACGCAGCTGAGTGATATACATTCGCTTCGGGTGCAGGTGAAATGAGCAAATGGCAGACGCCCTCTGACTGTCGATCGCGTTCCACGATATTGGTAACTGCCTGCGGCCTTAATCAGGTCAACTGCTAATGAAAGCTGTACGTAGTGACTAGATATGATAGAGTACATGTATAAACGATACGTTTCAATGCAGACGGCACAACAGGGACTTTAACTAATATTATGGAATCGTGACGGTATCTGGGAGTGGAATGATACATAAATCAAATGCAACCAGGGGCTTGATTCCGTTTGGCGGCGACCTCTGAGCGTCGACAGAATAATGACGTCATCAAATCTCAATGTTGAGACTCTAATTGAGGTATTTGTCAATTACTGTTGGTAGCTAACAAATTTCGCTCAGTTTAATGTTGACATTCACGGCATCGATATTACTCATCTTGAAATTTGACATAATTTTGTTTTTTTGTTCGACATTGTTTTGTTTTTTTGTGACATGAGGTAGGTTTTTCTACAAGACGCTACCTGAGCACTAGCTTAGAGATACTTGAGAACTCGTTTTGTTGTACGTGTTTCCTAAGCATCATGATGCTTTAGTTATCAATGTTTCGCTATGATGTGATGTAAAATCTGCTTCTGAAATGACATTACTGGAGGTATAAGATCCAAACGGCAATGCATATGTGCAAAATGAGGATTTGTGTGCTAACAATATGTGTTGATGATAATTTCATTGGATTCTTGTGTCAAACACACTTACTTGACCTTCAAAGCTAGAAATTAGTTGCGCATCCGCTTTTTCTTATTCATTCTGAAAATTACATATGCAACTTTGCTGAATATAAAAAATGAAACAGGTGAGAAATTATGCTACAGAAAGTGACAAGCTTATTAAATTACCTTTTATTTCTCACAGAGCAAATATCACTGATTCTACAGGGTGACGAGAAAATAGATGCGGAGCCGGTGGGGGATGATAGTACAGGCCAATCTGAGTCGATTTTACTATAGGAACTACTGTCCGAAAATTAGCCGTCTTCGAGTTATACTGATTTTTAAGATTTCATAAAATTAACGTCCATTATACGTTAACCAAGTCATAAAACTTGAAAATTGGGTGTTTCATTTGTTTTTTTTTGTTTTACAATAACAATATTCTGAAATAGGAAAATTGATACTCAAATGTACATTATTGACGTTATCTCATGCATGAAGCTTCAAAATAGTTCAATGTTTGTTAAAAAAAATCTTCGTTCATCTCAAAAACTCAATTTACTATACTACAACTATTTAAAACTGTAATGACTCATACGCGTGATGAACACGAGATCAGAGCTCGATCCCGGCTTCCTTCCAGTACAGCCGTATAGCGTACGACATATGTCGTTTATGTGGCTTTGCGGTGGTCAACAGCACAGACAGAGATGGAAATAATGGCTGATTGTTCTCCGCCGGTAGAACCAATGAAATCAAAGACGCGCCTCGACCGGCAGACTCATAGGCGTCGGCAACGCATTGGAACGTGTTTCGTTGAGCGATCGCATATTGTGTGTTTTTATAAGAATTGTTGTGTGATTGTTATTGTTGTGGTTTCTGTGGTTACTGTTTTGGTTATACTTAACCATGGAGGGTACAAATGGCACGAGTGGAAGTACTGAAAGCCAGGGAACAAGTAGACGGCTTCGTAAAGCACTGGAGAGGGACGCGAAAGAAATCGTGCTCAACGTGTTCAATTATCTGAACAGAACTATGTCGCAGGAGATGCACTCGCGCGTTGTGAAAGTATGACAGGCGTTCCAGAGTGGACCATTCGCAGGGTGGCGCATGAAAAGAAGAAAACTGGAGCTACTACTGATCTAAAGTTTAATTTGAAGGGACGAAAGGCCGCTAAATTGGATGACGATAGCAAAATGGCGTTAAGGCGAACCGTACATTCATTCTTCTTTAGGAATGAGATACCAACCCTCAAGGCTGGACATGCAGCGGTCAAGGAAAATGAAATTATACCCCAAATGAGCGTCAAGGTAATGAGGAAATCCCCGCACGAAATTAATTTTCGTTACGAAACGCATAATCGGAAGTCAGTATTGATAGAGAGACCTGAAATAGTCGCCTGGCGTCGAAAATACCTACGCGAAATGATTGAATATAGGCTACAATGCAGAAAAAACTATTATTTAGAAGAGACATGGGTAAATGCAGGTCACACAGTTAAAAAAACCTGGATAGACAAAAACGTAGTGAGTAACCAACAAGCAAGCATTGAAGGTTTGTCAGCAGGTCTTCGTGGACCGTCAGGGAAAGGTCAAAGATTGATCGTAACTCATATTGGTAGCGATACTGGCTTTTTAGAAGAGTGTGACTTGATTTTCGTCTCTAAGAAAGGAGGTGATTACCATGACGAAATGAATGCCAGCTGCTTCGAGAGCTGGTTTCAAGGGGTGCTTCAGCGAGTTGAGCCCAACTCTGTGATCGTCATGGATAATGCTTCCTACCATAGTCGTCGAGCCGAACGTGTACCGACTATGGAATCTCGAAAAAGTGACATGCAGCAATGGTTGCGCGAAAAAGGAATCCCGTTTGACGATTCATGTGTGAAAGCGGAATTGTATGAAAAAATTAAACAGCACAAACCTGCGAACATTAGCTACGTGATTGATGAGATGGCTCGTCAATGTGGTGTCACTGTGCTGCGGTTACCGCCCTACCACTGTGAACTGAACCCAATAGAGCTCATCTGGGCTCAAGTGAAGGGTTATATTGCGCGCCATAACACAACCTTCAAATTACCTGACGTTAAGGTTTTACTTGAGACTTCCATACAGCTAGTAACGCCCGAAGCTTGGCAGAATGCTATCCGTCATGTTGTGAAGGAAGAAACAAAAATGTGGCAGCTTGACCACCACATCGACACCATCGTAGAGCCAGTTATAGTCAATTTCAACGAGGAAAGCGATAGTGACAGTTTATTACTGTCAGATGTAAGTGGAAGCGACGATGAATAAAGGTAATTCCCAAATTTTTGACTTACAATATGTTTCAAACCACTCTTTATTAAGCATGTGACAAATCTAGTTCACCCATGTTAAACATTCATGCCCCGCCTATGAACAGCCGACTACTGGTAGTTAAGTGATGTTCACGTGAACATCGATGAGTCATTACAGTTTTAGATAGTTATAGTATAGAAACAATCACCTACAAATTTTTTGTGCAAAACAATTTTAAAATATCTACGTTTTGATTACCTTTCAAATGAGGTATCAAAGTCACACACCGGTTTAGAAATGACAAAGATATGAGTGAAAGGAGCAGGTAGAGCCGCGAACATCGGACTTGCCACCGGAATAGTGTGATAAGTAAGACTATCCCCCTCCCTCTCGCGCTTTAATTTACTCTTGCGGTTTGTTGCGTTCAGATGTGCTTGTTTGCTCGCTGTTTTGATATTTCTAACGACTTGGCTCTTGTTGGACTTCCGAGTGTGACTCTTTTCCTGACGACCTAGACTGTACCCTGTTTTCTGCGATTCCTTACGACTTGGCTGCTGTGTTACTTGATTGTTAGTTGATCTACCTATCGATGAACAATGGCTGATGAACAAGGCAGGCGGCCGTTCCGTTTCGAAGAATATGCCGATATCCTTTTCTACTATGGAGATGCCAGACGCAATGCTGAAGAAGCTCGTCGTGAGTATGGGGAACTGTTTCCTAATCGTCGCCTTCCTGACGCCCGCGTATTTAGGCAAACGTACCGTCGAGTTCGGGAGCGTGGTACCGGACTTTTTTGTGTGGGGTCTCATGAAAACTTTAGTATACTCTGATCCATGTACCCACAATAAAATACCTCAGAAACAGGATAATACATGCAGCACAAGAAATTCAATCAGCTGTCATAAGAAGAGCACGTGTGTGCATTAGAAATAGAGGGCGCCATATTGAAAATGTAAAAAATGTAGTTTCAAACAAATTATCCTGTACTAAGGTATAATTTTTGATTTGTGAAATTTATACCTCATTTGAATGGTAATGAAACGTAGATGTTTTCAGATTATTTTGTACGTGATTTGGCTCCATCAAAAATTAAAAGTACATTTCCTGGAGGCTTGTGTTCTGTATGTACCCATTCAACGAATGTAGTGCATGTCATACTTCCTTTTTGGGTCATGAATACTTTGCTCCAGGGGTAAGATTGTCAGAAAATTCGGGCTTAATTCTTTTGCCTTTATACAAAATGACTGGAGGTATCACTTGTTGTATAGCATTCCCACAGAACACCACAGTGACATTTTCCGCATGTATTGCAGCTACTCTTTTAATTTCCTTGCGGCTCAACACAACAGGCTGCTTATGGACAGCTGGCTGACAACCCTTTTCATCCATGTTGAAAATTAAATCGGGTTTATTCATCACCTCTGGGTCAGTCGTCACTTTTTTCAGAGTGTTGCTCATTAAACGGCCACTGAATATTGTTTATTTAAACTGCTCCGTGGTATACCAAAATTCATTGCTGTCCGCTTTATTTTCATACCCTGCTGAATTACCGTAACAGCATCAGTTAAAGACACAGAACTCCACTGAGCTCTTTTTTTGCGTCATTTTCTAGAAAAATGGACCCAGCGCACAGTGTGGCGCCCAATGGACAAAATTACTCAAAAACATAATTTTTGACATTAGAATTCTGTTGCTTTTATTATACCATTGGATAGATAAATAGTCACTGCAACACGTAAGTATAGTACTTTAATCAAGTTGGCTGCGATTTACCTATTTTAGCAACTTTAAAGTTAAACATGTCGAGACCTGTCAAGAAGGCGAAAAATCTCTCTGTTTTATTGCTCGGGAAAGATATAAATGTTGTGTCGAAATATTTAAATATTTTAACTTTTCCAATATGGCTGGTAATGAGGCTGGTAAGTACATCATATTTTAGTATGTATAGATTTATTTAAAATATACTTATAATTAGATAATTTTTTAAGTTAATTACCGATTTTTTTAATTTTTTTTAAACTTTTGACTTTGTTTAGAGTTTTACAAAAATCACCTCCCATCACCCTAATCATTTTTTATTTATTGTTTATCTGTCCATAGTAAGTTTTGATAAAAAGTTTAAATCACGTCATGTCACGTCTAAGGGAGATATAATTTTTTTTAGGACATGGTGCTATTGTCAGAAATAGAGATTTGATTGATGTGAGGATAGAAGCACCGAGAGGGAATAGAAAACAGGTGGTTTATGAAAAGATATTATCTCTTATTGATATAACAGATGAACCTTCCAAACATCTTAAAAGTAATATTATGAAATGCAGCCAGTTGTTTGGGTTGAAAATGGCAAATAAATGGCAGATAGTAGGACAATCTCGAAATCGACTTTTACAAAATCAGGTATATTGGTTAGACAAGATTATATATAGAATAAATAATGATTCTGAAGAAAACACATCTTCGGATGAGGAACAAGAACCTCCTTGTCGCTCAGTTGGATGGCCACGGGTGCCATTTGAAGAGGCATCGAAGACAACAAAACGAAGGCGTGTAGCCGAACTAACCACAGACAGATCTGCAAATGAACTTCAATTTGCTGTGAATGTCGTTTCTGGAAGCAATCACACATCACACAAATTTTTAGTTTTAGTACAGCTGAAGCTTTAGCCCTTATGGTAGATTTGGATATATCCGTAAGAAAGTATTTGCTACTTAGGTCTGTTATTAATGATAAGCCCCAGAACTGCCTTCGTAGTTATAAAGAATTACAGAAAACAAAAAATGCTATCCTCCCTTCACAATTTATTATTACTGAAATTTCTGCATAAGTTGATTTGCAAGAACTTCTACAGAAAACAGCTGAAAGTATCCTTGAAATAATAAATTTTGAAGAGAGAGATTGCCGGATTAAAGTGATATGCAAGTGGGGATTTGATGGCAGTTCTGGGCATAGCCAATATAAGCAGAAATTTTCTGATTTAGAAAACACGAATTTCTGTTTCTTGTAGCAATGACGCCACTCAGATTGATTGATATGGAAACGAATAAGGTATTGTGGAAAAATGAGAGCCCTTCATCTACTTTATATTGTAGGCCGATCAAGTTTTTATTTAAAAAGGAAAATGCCGATTTAGTGCGGAATACGGAAAAGGAAATAATAACAAAAATTGAAAATTTGATTCCTATTGAGATTATATAATTGAAGTTGATATGATGTTAACAATGTTGGACGGCAGTGTTGGAAACGTTCTATCAGAGTCAAATTCAACTATGAAGTGCATCATTTGCGGAGCCACACCCAAGGACATGAACACGTTAGCAGGGATTAACCGTTCTCCTAACGTAGACAATTACCGGTTTGGTTTGTCAACTTTACACTGCTGGATTCGTTTTTTTGAATGCTTACTCCATATTGGATACCGCCTGCCAATTAAATCTTGGCAGGTTCGTGGGCCTGAAAACAAAGCTATAGTCGAAGCAAACAAAAAACGAATCCAAGCAGAGTTCAGAGCCAAGCTGTCTCGAATAGTTGACAAACCAAAACCCGGGTATGGCTCCTCAAATGATGGCAATACGGCCAGAATTTTTTTCCACAATCCACAAACAAGTTCAGATATCACAGGGGTTGACAGGGAATTAATCGAGAAATTTGCGATCATCTTAGGAGTGTTAGCTAGTGGTTGCGCTATTGATATGGAAAAGTTTGCGTCATTGCTGGAAGAACAAAGAAATTTGTATATCCACCTTTATAAGCGGTACAACATGTCAAACACGGTACATAAGGTCCTTGTTCATGGGTGTGAGATAACTGAAGCATTTTGTTTGCCCATTGGAGAACTGTCGGAGGATGCGCTTGAGGCTCGCCATAAAGAGGTTAGGAAACATCGATTATCTCACACCAGAAAATGTTCAAGAACAGATACGAATAAGGATCTCATGCGTGTTTTTTTACTTACTTCTGATCCTTTTATATCCTCAAAAAGAAAGGTGAGCTCAAAAAAATATAAGAAATGCAACGAGGCAGTTCAGAACTATCTAAAAAAGCAAGAAAATGATGATTTAGGTATTGACTTAGGTACAATAACGAATGACACAGCACCGAGCAAGAAATCCTATTCCGATTAGAATGGGTATATTTGGTGTTATTTTTTTAATATAGTTTATATTATTATTTCATTCATTACCTACTAAGTAATTGTTATTTTGTTAAATTTATTTTTTTTAAAAAAACCTTAATGTCAATTTCAAATTGTACAGATTTATTTTTTATTTGAATTATACTTATTATTTTTTCAGATAGACAAATTTAATAAATCATATTGCGCCCGCCACAAGTTGGCTACATTATCTTTTAAATCATTCGGTAAAGATCTTGAGAAATAAAAGCGTGACTTTTTTGTCTCTCTTAAGAATGCTATAATAATATCCTACCTTATCCCAATTTATTCGAGATCATCAACTTAATATTTTGACTTTTACAAAAAAAAAACGATTTATGCGAAATGCATCCCGCCTGCTCTCCCACCCCTTCTTATCATTTTAAATAATTTTTGTCATACTTTAGAAAGCTACTTAAATAAGTAATCGCCCTGCGTTTACACAAGTCAAATAGGACCACTAGTTTTTTAGATATCGAATTTTGTCCCTGATCCCTATAAAGGAACACACTGTGCAGCGTAAAAAACAGATCAATTGAGCAAAAAATGATAGTGTTCCAAATATGGGCACTGTGCATATTTGGCGCTTTCACGCAAAATTAGACTTTGTGACTATTTCAAACAATACTTACTTTTTCAGTTTAATAAGTAAAAACCATGAACACTATAGGCAAGTAAGTGTTACCAGGTTTACATTGATATATGGTGATCAATATTTTATTTACATTTACAATAAAAAATCGACGAAAGTATTACAGACAGAGATTACAAGGTCCACGTGCACGGCAGCCATTTTCGCTATTTACATTGTAGAGCGACACCTTGCACACGATGTAGAAAACAACTTATGTAGTGAGTTTGTCTATGCTTAGTGGCTATCTTTAACTGTAAATTGCAGAGACACTTATACTAGAATTATTTTATTCCAGACAGTGCCCAAGTTTCTGCCAGTGCCCATATTTGGTTCAGCTACCTTACATCAGAGAACCTATCATGGAGGCAAGCTGCAGCGTAATCCATCTCACGGAGCTAAGAACTATCTAGCCATAAATGCAACGTCTCCTCGTCTATGCTCTTTGAATCCCGACATTACATAGCCGGCAAAGCAATGTCCCGTGCAGCTAGGGAGGGCAATTAGTAACCTCATTAGAGGAGGCGCCTGAAGACGAACTCACAACAGGATACTCTAATGGAATAAGATCTAGCGCATAATTAATACGAAATTATCAAGAGGACTCTGCGGGGACGTTGAAATGACGTGCGCTGCACTTTAAACTTTAACGGGTTGATTCAATTTCGGTGCGGAATACTGCGAAGGAGCGGGAGACGTGTACCGGTTGATGCAGCAGCATCAGGCATACAGCACAGCGCGCTTTTACTCGTCGATGCTTTGCTGGTTTGGTTTTCTATATGCGCCGCTTGAAATCTCTCGACACTGAGCAACAAGAGGTGAGGGTGGTGTAGAATGTTTGATTCGTAATGAAAGGAGACGGATGTTGTAACAAATGGGGGATGAGTTACATAGTTCTTGTTAAATGCCTTAGGAGGAGGTTTGGGCGAATACTTTAGCGTAACTGGAGGCTGTAAGGAACACCACTCAGTCGCGTGACACGCATTCCACCACGCATTTCTTCATAGTGTGTAGCGCTGCGCTAGGTTCTCACACCGAAACTATTACAGTATATTCAGATAAGAGATAGACCGGATGTAAACAAAAGGTTCGGATGATTTTCACGCTAACGCCGCCGTCTCGACGTAAAACAGGAGCCCTCATTGGTCAATTCGCAATTAAATGCCTATGCCGAGCGGCAGAGCAGTCGTATCAAGGCAGAGTCACATTCAGGTTCAGACGTGTTACGTATGTCGTGTGCATCATTGCAATTTGATATTTCTTTGGACGTTTTCGTTTGTTATCTTATTAAGTTGTTGAGTTTGTCGTTGTTATTGTTATACCTTGTTATTGATTGTTATTGTTATCAACTGCTTGCGCAAAATGCCCAGTAGTACAGATACTGCCGATGAAGTTGTAAACTCCTGTAGTCCACCTAGGAAACGCTCTAAAAAAAGACACCTGAGTGCAGAAATGAAAGAGGTCATTTTGAATATATACGTATAAGATCGAGCGCGAGGAGAACGAGGCATCAACCATCAAAGAAATTGTTGTGAAGGTTTCTCACAAAAATTGGGGTGTGTCGAGCATCAGTGTTTAATGTGTTAAGACAATACAAAAAAAATCACACCTTTTCTGAGCCAATGACCAGTAAACATCGCAAAAGTATTGTTAAATCATTGGACGAAGCTGATAAGCATGCGATTAGGAGGAAAGTGCATGAATTCTTCTTTAGGAATGAAATACCTACTATAGATAAAGTACTGCAGGAGGTAAATGGAGATACAACGTTGCCAAATTTCAAACGATCAACTTCCATGCGTTACTGAAGCATTTAAATTTCAAATGGAAAAAACGGGGTCGTAGTAGTTTACTACTGGATAGAGAATAAATTGTGCTATGGAGGAGGGATTATTTAACAAAAATTGGGAAATATAGAAATCAAAACAGGAAGATTTATTACCTTGATGAAACGTGGGTAAACGCAGGACACACTACAAGTAAAGTATGGGTTGATGATTCTGTAACTTCATCCAGGAGGGCCTTTCTAGATGGACTGTCCACCGGATTAAAAAATCCAGCAGGTAAATACGAGTAATAGACAACAATCGGATGTTTTTCAAACCTTGGGAACAAGGTTCTAAACATTAATTCCAGGGGGCAGATAAAACATATTACAAGTAACAAAACTTTTATAACTTTCGATAAAATGCGTGGATGTTTTATTGCCATTTTCATTTGTTAGAACTTTTTTAAGCCATGTTTTTATGTGTTTTCGATATTTCAATAATTTTTTAATATAATCTTAAAATATGTCGAATATTATAAACTTAAAAAAAGTTACTAAGTTTTATATTGTGTACCATTCCTAATATTTCTAATCATTTTAATTCATACTTTAAGCTTTATAAAGTTATAATTTGTTAATATTAATATTTGCGCGTATTTCAGGTTCCTTATCATTCATTTTTTAACTTTAAATTAAATTGTGAAGCGCTGAGTAATCATACGACGTTCAATATTCTTTCTTTCAATATGACTAAATAATCCCAATTATAGCAATCTGATACTCATGTCTCAATGTTTTTTCGCTGAATGTGATGAAAACATTTGAAAAAGGTTCGCTTATTGAAATAAATCTACACCAGTTAGTACTTCGATTTCCAGGTAAAGGGAAAAGGCTCATTATCTGCCATATTGGCAGTGAGGATGGATTTGTTGTTGACGGTCTGTGGTGCTTTGAGTCTAAGAAAACTGGAGATTACCACGAGGAAATGAATGGCGAATCGTTTGAACAGTGGATTTCAAAAATTTTACCGAACTTAGAGGAAAACGCAGTAATTGTGTTGGATAATGCGCCTTATCATTCTCGAAGAATGGAGAAGGTCCCAACAACGGCT